CCCGCTTCGCCCGCAGGGAACCATCGTCCCGGCCCTGCGCCGAGCGTCCGGCAGAATGCCGACCGCAGCCTCGCTCTCCGCCGCCCCTCCCGCGGATTTCCTCGGCTCTCTCTCCTACTCCGAAAAAGAGGGGGTGCTGAGGCTCGCGTCGGCCTCAGCCGGGGCTGGGACAGAGAGCACAGGGCCAGGCCTCCCTCACGCCTGTTGCCCCCGCGCAGTCTGAGCTTCCTCGGACCTTTCGTTTGCTTTTCCAACTTCGATCCCGGACGCAATGCCCCCGGAAATCTTCAAGGAGATAACGCGCTACGGCTCGGGTTAGCAGTTGGTAAACTGCTCGCTCTTAGACATAAAACTTCTTAAAATGCGGCGCCCAGGCTCTCCCGTAGCAGGCCCGGACCCCGGTATCGGAAATCAGCGTCTGACCCTTGGGGTCCGAGGGCCCGAGGGATCCCAGAGCTCACGGCCGGGGAGGTGCTGGCCCCAACCCCGCGTGCGTTTGCCGGTAAGCTTCCCGTCCAGAAGGATCGGCGTCCTCGCCGCGGGGCGCAGGTTCAGGGAGCGCCAAAGCCGAAAGAATGAGGTCACCCACCCACCCCGGAAAGAAGGTCCGCATCACGCCCAACGCGTAAAATGGATTATCTCAGAGCTTCACCTAGTTAAGGAACCCGATTTGCAACCCTAGCGGGACCATCAGTTTGGGAAATGGCGCCACCAGATGGCTGCAGCGAATCCCACAGAAATATGCTCGGGCTGGCTGGGCCCTGCTGCCCCAGAGAAGCAGGAACCGTCCGGAGACCACCGTCTCAGGAGGTGAAGGTGACATCACGCACTCGGCCAGCCTGCCTGTGGATGAAAGCCAAGCAAAACACCCAAGAGGTCAAAATGCATACCTAAAGCCAGAATGTGTAACACCAGCAGCTGGACCACTCACGGTGTGACCCGGATCCGGTTACTTAACCCCTCCGTGCCTCAGTTTCCTTACGACTGCTTCGAATTTGCAAAATGATAACAGTCACACCCATGTGCGGTAGCAGGAGGATTTCTGGGGACAAGGGGCCCGCAGCCAATCTTTCAGTACGGTCTCTTGGCTTGGCCTGGAGGGTTGCTCTTCACTAAGCTCCCGAGGCCGTGCACGGCCCGTCCTGGCTAACTGCATCCTTTCCCAGTCAGGAGCTGCTTGAAGCCTCCGAGGGGGAACCTGCCTTTTAATAAGGAGCAGGTGTTAGCCCACTCAAGGGGCTTGCTGCTTGGGGTGTTCTATTCCAGGAGAAGCGGTTGTCCATAAGTAGTTTATTTACTTGCAGCAAGTAAAGGAGGCAAGGGATTCACATCTAAAGCTGTCTCCCAGAAGGGACACTTAGTCATCGCTTATATATACTATTTGGTTAGTTACATGTCGATTTCTTCCCTGCAACTGGCTAAACTTATCCACTTGAGTGCCGGTCAAGCTCATCTACAAAATACTGTGCTACGTTTTAGCATGCAGCAAGAATAGCATTTAGTAACGGGCCAGACATTGGAACCCTTGTCCTGGCTACCACAGTGAAACCCAAGCTTTCCAACCAAAAGGGAGGGCAGACCAGGGATGCAGTTATTTGGGGGCTAAAAAACTTGTTTGCAATTCGAGGCTGCCTGTCGGAAGCCAGGGCTAGATTTTGAGAAGAAACCTCCGTATTACACCTGTTCTCCCTTTGCTTGCTTGCATTACCTCTCAGGAAGAGTCCATGTGCCTTAACTTTGCTATTCGCGAGTCGGAGCGGGAGACAGCGTGTCCCGGGCTCTCCACGGGTGCAGAGCAGACGCAGGGATCGGGAGACCCCTCTCCCAGAGCAGAATCTCTGAGAATGAGAGCCACCATCCTGCCGTCCCAGAAACTCTCACACCTACCACAGTCGAATTGTTCTGTCGAGATGAGCGGGAACTAACTTTGTACCTCGAGATTCTTCTGTGCCTGGACATCCGGAAACACTAAAGCAAAGCAGCGGGGCCGGATCCGCCCTTGTCAAGGCTCTTCTTCAGACCTGCAGCATTCGGGTGGGAGGTTGTTGTGTGGTGAGGACAGGGTGGGAAGAAGAGTTCCAATCCCAAAGGGGGCAGGCAGCCCCCTTTAAGTACGGTGTTCGGAGGAGAGGGCACCCACCAACACCTGCCCTGGGTTTGGGTGAAAAATTTCCGTTCCTAAAACGGGCAGGTACTAAATGGACCAGGAGTAGAGGTGGTAAGCATTGACTCTGTTTGTAAAAGCGAAAGCTTTCATCAGTTTTCGGTAAGTGTCAAGGATCTGCGAAGACGGGTAGGCCCGAGGGCCAACCTGGAGCACAGAGGAGTCAGCATGAATGAAGGCACCCGGGTGTGGCTGCACCACGTGCACGCGTCTCTCTGCAGTTGCACAGCGACCCCGGCTGGGGAGGCGCGCCGCGACAGCCACCAAGCATCCGCTTTCATGCGTTTTTCACAAGGTCCGCGCTCGTGTCGCTGTTTCTGCAGGAGGTTATTCTCCTGTCCCGCTCAATCAGCTCGTCCCTTGGGAGCTCCTGTCAAGTGGGCATGCGCTTGCCTGGGCGCGAACGAGGGGGGGAGGAAAGCGAGTGGGAGGCGACACAGAGTGAGTAAGATGACACTGCCTATGCAAGGTGAAGTCGAGACCGGGTGGCGCGGGTGCGAGGAGGCCAGGGGCCCGGGAGCCAGGCAGGTCACAGCCGGACTGTTGGCGCGGCGGCGATGGAGACTCCAGTGCGGCTCCCGGCTCCCTCTGGCGGCCAGCGGGGCTGCGCGGGCTCCCCAAACAATGCCTCGGGCCGCGCGGGCCCGCGCCGCTCCCCAGTGTGCGGTTGTGCCCCGCCTCCAGCAAGGCCAACCAGCTCTGAGCTCCTAGAGCTCTGCGCTGCCGGCATGAGGGACCGAAACGACCCCAGGGGAAGGCGTTGGGGCTAGACAGTGGAGGTGGGACGGCTCTCACCGCACCCCCGGGCCCACGTCCCAGCATCTCTCCCACTTCAGGCTCTGAACTGTTTGATTCGGAATGTTTTCATTTTATTTCGGGTTTATTCTCAAAATAGTGTGTCCTGGGGAGCGGGTCCTTTCCGTCTCTTGAGGCTTTAGTTAGAAACCAGAAGGCTCACGACCAATTTGGCGGAAGAGCGGTCTTAGGCTGCTGGCCCGCCCCCCCCCCCGGGCCCCCCCCCCACCCATCCCCCGGCTTTTACCCCGCAGAGCACCCGTATCAAAAGAGGAAAACAAATGGAAGCTCGACTTTCAGGGACTTAGATTCTTGTAGTCCAGAAGATGGTCTCCCTCCAGATGGCGACTTTCTCGAATAGATAACAGAATGGGCTTTCGCCACCCATGTATTAATCTGCTCCTCCAAGCGGCTGGACCACAAAGAGAGCCGGGCGCCCTGGACATTGGGTGGGGGAGAGGGGGTGCTGCGAATGTCAATACATCTTTCCTGAAGGAGGGAAAAAGAGAAGCTGGGGATGTAGCCTGTTAATGGCTCTGAGTGGCTGGGAATTAACAATGCGCCCACCTTACATACGAAAAAATTTTGGCGGCTCGCTCTTCGCTAATTATCTCTTTGGATCTGCGCTGCCACCCTGCTCGGAAGGTTTCCCGACGACCTGGCCCTGGGGGCGACATGGGGTGACTAGGGGAAACGAGCCCCCCACCACACACCTTCCCTCTGCTGGCACCCCAGTCCCAGTTTACAGCTGTGAACTCACCGTCTGCCCTAGAGCCCGGGCTCCACGAAGGGAGAGGCCGACCGGTTCACCTCTGCACACGAGGCGCGGAGCACGGTGCCCGTTGGCAATGTGGGATGGCGGAACCAGCTCTACCAAGGCCACGATTAGCACTTATGGGTCTCTAGACAGAGCTCCTTGCTCTGCCCCGCTTTCCTTCCCAGCCTGCCCACCTGGCTCATTTTCTGCCAGTCCCTCGTGCCAAAGCACTAGCCCTTCCGTGCCGTGGGGCCCATCCTCCGGCTCCCCCGAGGGCCCCGCTGCCGTGTGTGTGTGTGTGTGTGTGTGTGTGTGTGTTAGGGCACATGATGCCTTCGTGTGTGTGCGCGTGTGTGTGTGTGTTAGGGCACATGATGCCTTCGTGTGTGTGTGTGTGTGTGTGTGTGTGTGTGTGTGTGTGTTAGGGCGCATGATGCCTTCCAACTTGAGTCACCCCATTCATTGAAGGAAAGAGGGCAGGTCGTCTCCAAAACCGGGATGGTGGGCAGCCGCGTGTGATTCAGAGGAAACTGCAGAGGCGTTTCCACAACAGCAAAACCTAGACTCACCCAAACAAAATAACAAACCCAACGTTTTCTGTTTCACATCAAAGTTTTGCTCCTACGACTTTATTGATAATTTTGATTTTTTTTTTTTTAAAGGGCAGGGGTGGGAAGCACACCGTGTGGGGTGAGCCAGGTTGGTAACTGTGGCTGAAAATTCGAGAGGAGACCAAGTTCGCCGAGGCGGCCTGGCGCAGGCAGGTCCCAGGTGCAAGCCGAAAGCACAAAGACCCCGACGACTCCCGGCTGGCGCCCGGCGACGCAGTTCCAAGGCGCAGCCCGGGGCCGGGCTGTCCATACAAACTGCAGGATGGGGTCAAACAAACCCTGGCCCGGGCCTCGCTGGGGATAGAGTGCGTTCCCGCCGGGACGTGTCGACGAGGCCGCCCCTCACGTCCCCGGCGTCCCCCTATCTCTCAGAGCCCGCGGGCCCCCCCGAACCTCCCGCTCACTGTTAGGGCGCAGCTGCCAAGCTGGCCTGTTTGTTTGTTGTTTAGAGCAATTCTGGAGCGCGCGCTCGGCAGCATCTGAAAGGGGCTTTGGGGGGGCAGCCAGAAATTTCCTCTCAGGGAGCGCGTGAGGGGCATTCTCAAAGGAAAACCAGACCAAGTGAGTAGTGACCAACCCTCCTCAGATTACTCTCCACTGGCTCCTCCCTTGCTCCCCCCCACCTCCAGATTTGCATTAAAAAGGCCAAGAAAACTCTGGCTGGGCCCCAGCAGCCTCTCACACTGCTCCCCCGGGTCGGAGCCCCCCGGAGCTGCGCGCGGGCTTGCAGCAAGAAGCCGAACAGAGAGCTCCTTGCCCCTGCAGTGCTGCCCGCGCCCGGCCTCTTGGCGCTCCCGTCGCCCCGCCGCCCACTTTTCAGGCCCCCGAGCCGCGCCGAGCGAGCGAGCGGGCCCGGGACGTGCTCCGGCCCCGGCAGCCTCGCGCTTCCCCGGCTCTGCTCCTTCCGCCCCCCGAGGGTCGCACGCCCACCATGCCGCAGGGTCCCGGCTCGCTGCTGCTGCTGGTCCTGGCCTCGCACTGCTGCTTGGGCTCTGCGCGCGGGCTGTTCTTCGGCCAGCCCGATTTCTCCTACAAGCGCAGCAATTGCAAGCCCATCCCCGCCAACCTGCAGCTGTGCCACGGCATAGAGTATCAGAACATGCGGCTGCCCAACCTGCTGGGCCACGAGACCATGAAGGAGGTGCTGGAGCAGGCGGGCGCCTGGATCCCGCTGGTCATGAAGCAGTGCCACCCGGACACCAAGAAGTTCCTGTGCTCGCTCTTCGCCCCGGTGTGCCTCGATGATCTGGACGAAATCATCCAGCCGTGCCACTCACTTTGCGTACAGGTGAAGGACCGCTGCGCCCCGGTCATGTCAGCCTTCGGCTTCCCCTGGCCCGACATGCTCGAGTGCGACCGTTTCCCCCAGGACAACGACCTCTGCATACCCCTCGCTAGCAGCGACCACCTCCTGCCAGCCACCGAAGAAGGTAAGCCTTCCCCTTTATTTCCCCCCCTCCGAACTCTGCTAAGACTTTGCAGGCGAGATGCCGAGGCTCCCGCCCCACATCCCTAAGCGTCCCCACCTGAGATGCCATTCCCGGCGGGGCGGGCGCTCTCCTTGCCCTGGTGAGTCATCGTGACAAGTTTGAGATACCTCCCACATGCACACATACCCAAGCCTCCCATTCCCTTTCCGAGTTATACCAGTTATACCTTTCTTAGGGACAGTTAAAAAGAAAGAAAACGAATAACCGTAAGGCATCTTTTCCTAAAAGATACACAAGTATTTTTGCTACCACGGGGGGGCCGACATGTTGAGAGCGCTGGAAGTGGCCCGGTGTGGAGGGGTTGGGGAGCCTCTGGCCAGAGGCTTCTTGCTCAGCTCACACAGCACGTTCTCACCGCGAGGCAGGATCCTAGGCACGGGAACACTCCGGTACAGGCAGGATAGCCAAAGTCCACACCGCAGATAGTCTGTTAACCCGCTTGCTGTTCTTTGCCGATTCAAGTTTGGAAAATAAAAGCAGGGCTGGCTCAGGGCACGTTGAAAATTGAGAATGGGTTGTAACTGCTCAGGTGTCTAAGGGAGAGGACATAAAGGGAATCTCCAGGAATCATTTTCTATCACAAGTCAGCTTTTATCTTAGGAGTGGTTTTAATTAACTGGAGAAAACCATGCAAAAAAAAAAAAAAGAAAGAAAGAAAGAAAGAAGAGAAAAGAAAAAGAGTTTCCCAAGTTTTTAGAAAACAGAGGGGGAGTTCCTGTGCAAAAACCATCAAAGCAATGAAAACCTCATGGGCTCTTGATATTCTTCCTGAAAGCAAAACATATACAATGTGTCTGAGCTGATTTAGGTCCCCCCTGGGATGGAAAGGGGGCTTCTAATCCCTTTCAGGGCTCCAGCAGCATCTCCCTTTCAATCTCTAATTGTTTTCCTACAGCCATCATTAGTTAAAGAAAATGCAGAGTTGCTTAGCAATCTTTCCTGGCAGGCACCATGAGTATGCAATCATCTTATTGGTTAGATTTCTAATTTATTGCAAATGTTTGGCATATTTTAAACATTTGTCCAACATACACCACAGACCAACCAATACAGGTTAGTAACATTTTATATACATTCCTAGAGCTCCTAATTGGAAATGTTTCATTTTGTTTGAGTGAGGGGAGTTAAAGGCAGTTTTATGTGTGTTGCTTTTGTTTTTATTTCTTTCCACTATCAGCACCAACATTATACACTACCTTTCCCCCAAAAGCCACTTTCTCCCTTCAGAATAAAAGTTTATGGTCTTCAAAATATGCTCTGCCATTTTTCTAATTTGATAAATATCTCTTCTATCATGAGTCTCATAAAGTTTTTTTCTGTGAAAATTAAATTTCATGTTAATGAAAATCATTCACCTAAATTTTAAAGCCAGAACATTTACAAATGGGAGAAAGGGAACATGCTTTCTTTCTTTCTTTTCTTTTTTTTTTTTTTTTTTCCTTTTCCCAAGAAATCAGACTGTTTTAGAAAGTTGGGTCAGACTCCAAAGACAGTTGGCTTCAACTTTGCTAAGCTTCGGGAAAAGCTTTTTTTTTTTTTTCTTTTTTTGTTTGGTTGGCTGGGTTTTGTTACATTTTTGTTTTGTTTGCTTTTGAGAATTTGAAGCAAACAAAAAGGAGCGTGAAGAATTTTCACCAGGGACAAAGATAAAAATGAAATAAATGCTGCTTAACTCAAGCACAGACTTGACGGAAAGCACAAGGGAACACGGGCAGTCAGGGAGGGCTGCTGCGCTTACTAAGGTGTTTTCAAGGTTGGAGAGGAGCCCCCGCGTGACCCTGAACACCACTAGCCGCCTTTCCCTGTGCAGACTGGACAATATCTTAAATGACTCTTCTGAGACACAGAGCTCTGCTAAGGAGCCCAGCAGAAACCCAGCTGCACTGGTGTCCTGCAGTAGAGAAAGACAACCTTTAGGCCTTCCCCTCCCCCCCCCCAAAATCCCCCAAGAGTCTTCTGGTGCTTTCTCCTCAGAGAAGCTCTGGGAACAACTTTTTCAGAGGCTGAGTTTGTCCCAGAGGTAGGAAGGAGGGGCTAAAAAGCCAAAACCTGTCCCAGTTAACTGTAGGTACACCTGCATACAATGCCCAAATGCCCTTTTTCTTTGGGATTCATCATTTATTAAACACTTCATATGGGCATTTTTACTCATCAGAAAATGGGAAGCATGGAAGACTTCCTTAGGAATGACGGATCCTTCTTTTATAAAGGAGGTAGAAGCTGGGGTCTTCTAGGACAATTGCTACTCTCGCCTGGGGAAGCCCCTGTGAGTTGTTTACAAACGCCACCTGCTGTTCTCTTTTAAGCAAACTTACTAATTTTTCGCCTTTCTAGCTCCTAAGGTCTGTGAAGCCTGCAAAAATAAAAACGAGGATGACAACGACATTATGGAAACTCTTTGTAAAAATGATTTTGGTAAGTAATACACCACCACAGACAAAAGATTTCGCATTCAAAAGTGTTATGTACCAGTAAAACTTAAAGGTACAAATCATGAAGCTGTTACTAGATAAAGCTTGGGTAAAATACCACCACTGTTCACCTTTTCTAAAATTCTCTCAGGTGCTCTATCCTAGTCTCCTCCCTATGTAACCATCTTATGTTGACTTGTATCTTTTTTAGGTGAGATTCATTTGTTCTGTTAAGCAATAATCAAATAATGAGAATTATTTAAATTATTAATTTTCAATGGCATTTTTTCATTTTACTTTGGCTTTTTCTTGCCAACAAGCCTAATCCTGGGCCATGTTCTCTTTCTGACACTTGACATGTGCACCAGGGATGGAAACGTGTAAATATTAGCCCCAGCAAACACATTGAAGGCATTAAGTTAGCCACAAATAGAAATATAGTCCAGTGCCAAACTGAAATATTCTTACTTTATTCATAACCATTACTGACTATATCCAAGATACTGGTTAATAATTGGAGGAGGGATTCCTTAAATTTCAAAAGAAGAAATAAAGCTTAGGAATTTACTTTGGCAAGCCACATGAAAGATCCATGATGACATGGTGCGTGGGGACAATAAATAATGTGTGATATGTTACCCAAGTTCCATAGAGTGTAAGTCACTACCCTTACGAGAATATTATAACGGGAAAGAGGGTTGGAGACTATCCATACAGGACTCTATCAGCACCTTATCTGCTGTCCTCAGGCCTCCAAGCTGAGGGAGGAGCCCAGCTAGACACAGGGTCAATGCCAAATTCAAAGTTGGGACTGGCCAAGAACTTCATCCAGACTCCTGAGCTTCCTGGCCTTCATCCCATTCCAAAAGCAGGGATGTTTTGATGTGTTTAAGTGGCTGGTACCTCTTACAAGCTTTCCTTCAGGCAAGAGGCTGAATGTACTGGTAAACAGATACAATTCCTGTTCTATCAAACAATAGCAGACTCTCACAGACCTATATTACTATTTCTCCATCCTCCACAAAGTCCTTGAGACAAAGGGAGATCGCTCCAGCTCCCACTGCTGAGGGATGCCCTCCCAGACATCTCAGGTCTGGTCGGGTCCCTGAAATGCAGAGAATAACCCTGACGCTGCTCCTTATAACCTCAGGTCTCTCCCAGGAAGTCTCCTGGGTTTACCTGTAGCTGGGCCCAGACCAACCAGAACCACAGCTTTAGGAACAGCTTCACACTGCCAAGGATGGGAGGGGAAAAAGGAGGCAGCTCTGTACCAACCAGTCCTGCCCCTCAGCAACAGCCTCCAATGGGATTAGAGCATTATCGTACTTCTGTATAAAATATAGACAACTCTCAAGGCCAGGCATGTCGGTGACAGTGACCCCAGGGTCTTACCCAAACACGGTTCCTAGCTTCCATGCTACCAGATAGGGTGAAGGCCAAGAGAGAAAATACATAATTTTAATAAAATTTATATTAAAATTTACATAAAATATCATCTTCTGACAGCTTATATCCAATGCATTAGATTTCATCCAGATCTGTCCCCTGGCTTCCATGAAAAAGTTGGTTATATTATGGGGCTCCCGACAGTTGATGTAAGAGACAGGAGTGTGAGCGTGCACACATGTGAACTGCTTGCTTTGTGGCTCACCTTACAGAAGACCTTCCTAAGGATGCTCTGCCAAGACTGGACCAAAAAATGGGGTGGGGGGAGGGTGTGAATGCTAGTGTTCTCTCTCCTTGGAGAAGAAAGCCTTTCAAAACAACACGGAAGTCATTACATTTAAAGTATCGCACATGTAGATGCCTCGCAAGCTTTGTTTCCTCTTTCCCCATGTTCATTTCTGTCCCCAAAGGGCTAATGAATCTGGATTGTAGGTTTACAAGCAGTATTCCATATTGCCTCTGTCCTTTGGGGATTGATGGAAGGGTAGAAGGAACAAGGGTGGAAATTGGATATATATAACATCATATACATATATATATAACATCATGCTCTTTCGCCATTGCACACCGGAAGCGCAGGGAAAATGTAGAACACTTCTTCATTTCAGTGGTGAAAACACTGAAGAAAGAAAGGCCCAAACCACTTGCATGCATATTCAGGACAACCTGTCACTGGATCAGGCGGTGTCATCACCTCTGACCACCATATCCTGCAGCCCCGCTCACATCTTCCAGGACAGGAAAAGGTATTCAGGGGCCTTCATGCCCTGTATTTGGTCCCAGCTGAAACTCCAGGGAAGAAGTGCCTGATGTTTTCCCATGGTAATCTTTTGCAAAGTTGGTAATTTTAAAGCTAGAGAAGCAATAAATCTTCCCCCTGGTTAAAATGTAATGTTTAGAGCGCAAGAATGTTTAATTGGACCAGGTGAAATCTCACACATGCTCTGTCTGCACTAGAGATGAGGCTCTGAGGCAATAAATATATAGTCACTTCTTTCACTATATATTATCCTCACCACCATGCCTTACACCTTAAATTCCATGACTGAAGTCTCATAAACCCTGAGAACCCAGCAGCATAACTCAGATGTGTATCAGACACAATAATGACTGGCTAAGTCACAGCATCCTTAGCTTACCTGGTTGAGCTTTGGTCATTTCCCAGTTGACTACAAAAGCCATTCTTAGTCAAATTCTCTTTCTGAGATAGAAAGAAACCACCAAAGTAGTTATACTCACATGTATACAAAACCTTCTATTACTAATTTAGGCAATGAATTAAAAACTCGATCAAAATCAGGAAGTTAGACTTATACATATCCATACAGAACAACTGTCTATAGCACCAAGGGTCTTGGGACTCCTTACAGTCAGGTAAGTTAATGCTCCAACGAGGACAAAAAGTTGGAATTGCCTATGAGATAACATTGGCACTACAGGAGGTTTAGGAGCCAGTGTTCTGAGAACTAGACTCAACCAGGACACTATCTAACTGGGTGATCTTGCATAAGTCACTACAGTTCTCTGGGTTTCAGATTCTTCCTGTGTGTGCCAACAAGAGATGTTTAACTGGATGATTTCTTCCCACTTTAAAATTCTATGCTTTCTCTGCCTTCATGGATTCTTGAAATGTAATTCCAGCATGTATGTTTGCAGGGTTTTCTTTCCCAAAGCATAATGTTTATGACTATAAAATGTGTCTTTTATGTAAACCACTTACTTTTGTGTCTTAGCATTCTAATGAGTCTAATATCCATTTTGGAAACAGCACATATATGATCTGTAAACGCCCTGGCCTTGGACGGGCAAATGATAGCATATGAGGATGAGGTCTTCAGAAAAACACTTTTACAACTAAACATGTGCTCTTAAAAAAGAGTCTTGGATATTTTTCTCCTAGTTACTTTACCAAATCAAATGCAGCTGTAAGATCAATTCTCCTTCCCTATAGCCTGTTCTTTAGAAAACAATGATTGTGTGATATAATTTCCTTGCAGGTTTGTCCAAAAACCTATCCGACGTAATTAATTGAGTTTAAAGTTTACAGCCACAGAAGGATCACGTTTCACCTAAGAATCAGGCATTTCTTTTCATGCTGACGTTTTCAATAGGGGAAGTCATTTGTTGAGGAGAGCAGAGCACAAACCACATGCGACCTACACACAAACACTAGGGCGGAGAACAAAGTTAATTGAGTCCCACAAAAGGAGTTCTGAAAGGATGGCTGATTTGAAACAAAGTGCCTGGCAAACCCTTTGAGGCTTTAGAAATGGAGCCACCTGCTGCCCCCTGGTCCCAGCCCCCTTCCTGCAGCCCCTCACAGTCCCTTAGCTCTAGGAAGCTCTTCTTCCATACCACCCCCCAAGCCAGGTCACACCACTGTGCAGTAGAATGGGGTGAGGGGAGCTCCCAGTCTCTCCTGCATTCCTTCATTATAACTGGAGTGATTCCATCCCCTCTCGGTAGCGCTGAAAATAAAAGTGAAGGAGATAACCTACATCAACAGAGACACGAAAATCATCTTGGAGACCAAGAGCAAGACCATTTACAAGCTGAACGGGGTGTCCGAAAGGGACCTGAAGAAGTCAGTGCTGTGGCTCAAAGACAGCTTGCAGTGCACCTGCGAGGAGATGAATGACATCAACGCGCCCTACCTGGTCATGGGACAGAAACTGGGTGGGGAGCTGGTGATCACCTCGGTGAAGCGGTGGCAGAAGGGGCAGAGAGAGTTCAAGCGCATCTCCCGCAGCATCCGCAAGCTGCAGTGCTAGTTCTGGCGCCCAGGCAGCTCCGACAGGCCAGCCCCAGGGCTCGGCTGACCACACCCGCCCAAGGCCCAGGCCTCAGCTCTCGTGTCCCAAGCACAGTCCCTGCCGCTCCGGCCCCAGCCTGGAGCAGCATCCCCTGCCTTTTGCACATTTGCACCCCCAGCGTTTCCTGAACTATAAGGCCCTAGGAGGCCTCAGGAATGGATACCTGTTTTCACATTAAGGAAAAACCCAGCCAAGTCTTGTAGAAATATTCAAACTAATAAAATCATGCATATTTTTATAAAATTTTAAAATAGCTCACTTTAAAGTTAGTTTTGAATAGGTACAACTGTGACTTGGGTCTGATTTTTTTTTTTCCCTCTTTGGTTTGATCACCTGATTTTCACTTCTGCTAAGGATGTTATAACGCCTAAATGGCTTCATTTTTGTATGTGGCTGAAACTGCTGTGGGCCACAAACCCAGTTGAGATAAAGCTGGCTGTTATCTCAACATCTCTCAGCTCCAGCTGGAGACTCAGCACCTAAGTGTTGTAACAGTTGTCATTTTACACCCTGTCGGGACTTCACAACTGTAGCATGTATTGCATTTCCAGGTAGAGTACTTCCATTTATTAAAAAAAAAAAAAAAAAAGCACATTAACCATCATAGCGTGAGTTCATTGAATAAAGGGCACAACAGACAAATTTTGTAATTGACCTGAGTCCTTTAAGCTTTGTTTAAAACTTTTTCTTATTTTTGCAAATTACACCATTGTAGCTTACCTGTAATATACATAGTAGTTGACCTTAAAAAGTTGTAAAAATATTGCTTTAACCAACATTGTAAATACTTCAGATAAACGTTATATTCTTGTATATAAACTTTACATCCTGTTTTACCTACTCGTCTTCTGTCTTTGTTGTAGAAGGAATTTGGAAGGGAACTATGTAAGAGTGGTCACCTCCTTTTTCCTGAGGTCCAGCCTCCCAACAGTTTGAAATATCCATTACTTAAGTGACTCATCCCCGCTCCGCCTTATGCATCACATCTCAGATTTTGACCCTGGGGACCCTGCAGGGAGGCAGAGGTTGGCAGGCTTTGTAAAGGACCTTCCTTTGTCCCTTCTCTGCAATTCAGTTGCAGCCATATGGCAAATGCTCTAACCCTAAGGTTCATGGCCTCTACCATTGTTCTTTTCATTTCTAGAGATTTTCATAATGAGGAGGAATAACCATTGCAAAAATGTTCATTCCCTCCTCGCTGAGACCCCAGCCCTCAGATAAAGAGCCACGATTTGAAGAATGCCCATTGGAAGGCAGGGGGAATGGAGGCGATGGTGAAAAACCAAAATTTAGAGACAGACATCCATAAAATGTCTATCCAAATGCTTCATTACTTGGGAGCCTCCAGAGAAATTCTATTAAACACATAAAGGAGACTGGCTCAGAGGGATTAGATGGCACGGACGGCTCGGAAGGGGCAGAGCCAGAGCTGAATCTGGCCTTTCAAAGCACAAATTCTATCTTCAACCTAGAAGTGGACTTTAGAAACATGGTGTCACTCACCTGCTCAACAGCTTTATTAGGCATCCGCTATGTGCCTGGCCCTGCTCTAAGTGCTGGGGAGACATACATGAGTCCTTGTTCTTGTGGAGCTTACATGAAAAGGGAGCAAAAAAAAATAAACAACCACAATTACAGCTATATATTTATAATCTGTAAGTTTATGAAGTATAAGTACAGATAATGCATGAGATTGAGTATCTCTGTCAAATCTAAAATTTTTGGTGGTGGTCATGTGAAGCGTTTATCTGATGACATTTTATCTATGTCCCTTAAAATTTTCCTGAACGTACAACACTTCAAGTTCTTCTGGCCCTCAAAATCAATGCTATAGCCCGTAGCCTGGGCTCCACGATTTCATCAGTACCTCTCATTTTTCTCTGGGCTGCCCCTTGACTCTTCACTCTGCTTCTCATCTGAATCCACAGACTCAAGATACAACCCTCTTCCTACAAGGTACATAAGGACCAAACTAGAAAGGGAGCATGCATGGATCAAAGCCAACTCTTATTTTAAACATTTGGAATGGGAAACCCGGTATCCTGGAAAAGGTAGGGAAAAAAAGGAGAGAGAGAGAATAAACTACAAAAGAAACAGTAAACCAAAGATTTCAAGATTAGAAGGGGGAAAGACATACAATGCATCAAAAACTAATGGAAAGAGACAACTTGGAAGAAATGACCTAGCTGAATGTTTGCTTTCCAGCCAAGCCAAAGTGACTTTCCCATATACTGGGATGTAAAACTTGCAGCTCTGGAGGGCAGGTTAATGCCAGACACAGCCTCCTTCCATCATGTTTGGAGGAGTTGGCAGCTGAGGCATCACTCCAATGTCTGCCTCCTGCCATACGTGCCTCTCTCTGCACTTTCCAATCCATCTCTGAAAAGGCGATGAGACACTGAGACAAGCTTGGACAAAGCAGCTAGGTTTTTGTTCAATTTTTCATTTCGTTTTTTTTTTGTTTTGCATGATAATCCAAATATATAAGGCTCATTTATTTTTGAATCAATCATGATTTTATTCTTAAATGTGTTTGCAACCATCAGATTTCTTTTGTAGGCAGATGAAAACCTGAATGGCACTCATTACTGGAGGAAGGAAGCAAATAGTCGGGGGACATTGGGTTTCTGAGTTTCCTAACATGACTCATGGCCTGTTAATAACTGTTAAAATGCCCCACATAGGGGTTCAGCCTAAACAGAAAAGTTAAAAGATATGAAAACCACAATTGCCCAAAGGAAATAAATACTTTGGTATAAATGTAACAAAGCATGTATAGGGTCTATGTGCTGAAAATTACAAAATGCTGATGAAAGACATCAGAGAACCTAAATAATTGGAGAGATATACCATGTTCATAGATTAGAAGACTCAACATGGTAAAGATACTAACTTTTCTCAAATTAATCTTTAGGTTTAATACAATTCCTATCAAAACCTCAGCAAGCTTTTTTGTAGACATGGATAACCCTACTCTAAAATCTGTATTGAAAACGAAAGGCCTTAGAATAACCACAATAGTTTTTCTTTTTTTTAAATGGGAGAAATGGTTCTTCCCAATGTTAAGGCTTACTACTTGCTTGCCGTAATCAAGGCAGGGTGCAGGCACATAGATCAATGTCTACTTTAAATGCCTTACTATTTTATTTGATAATTATACCTCAATAAACCTCAAAAACAAAGACCATGTTAGCAGAATGGAAGGATGAATTACAGAGTAAAGACAATACTTGCAAAGCACATACTTGACAAAGGATTTGTATCGAGAATATACAAAGAATTTTCAAAACTCAACAGTAAAAAATCAAGCAATGCACTTAGACGTGGGTAAAAGACATGAACAGACACTAGGGAGAAAAGGACACACACTCTGCCTCGGGGGTGCCTGCCGTGGGGGCGGGAGGGTAAGTGGCAGCCAGGCATCAAATGCTTGGGCCTCAGGGCCTGAGACAAAGGAGACTTTATGTGCTTAATTCTATGATGAGCAAAAACTCGTGTTTAGGTTGTCAATAAAGCAGGAGTTTCAAAAACCAGGGAAAAAAAGAGGGGGAAGCATTTGATTTTTTTTAAACATCAAAATAGTCACATTAGGGGAAAACCAGGTCATTGTATACTGATATATACCTAATCTAAATAAGTTAGTGTTTTCTTGGTTTTCAGAATGAAAACTGGGGGGTGATGTAGGGAGACCATAGTAATCTCTTCAGTGTTTTGAACTTCTACCAACCATGCTGAAATCGAAAAGAGAGAGGGTTCTAAGTGTAGCATGGTCCTTCTCACACCCTGGCCTAGCTCCTGGCCTGGGATGCAAACCTAGAAAAGAAAAACTAAAAGCCACCCCAAACCAGTAAGATCACTCCCTGCCCCACAGAGCCAACCACCAGCATGAACGCCAAACTACTTCTTACAATACGATAAGGAATGACCTAGGCAAGGAAAGCTGGGAGGAACGTGCAGGCGGGGGGCTCTGTGGAGAAATGGACAATTCAGCAATAAGACTTCAATACCCCACTTTCAATAATGGATTGAACAAGTAGGCAGAAGACCAACAAGGAAACAGAAGACTTGAACAACACTTGAAGCCAACCAGACCTAACAAACATCTATTTATAGAACATTCCACCAAATTTTTGAGAGTACACATTTTTCTCAAAATGTTGTATAAATGGGCCAAAATTGGCCCTGGTGTATGGGCCCTTATGCTCTTTACTTCTTTACGGCAGATTGGCAGCCTTAGCTCAAAGCCAAATTCAAATTATTACATATCCAACTGCTTCAAATATACCCAAAATAAGCATATACTTAGCCATTTAGAGCCTGTCTGCTTTCCATACCCTGCGAAACTGCTCCCAGTATCTGCCAGCCATAGATAAGATAAGCCCTGTGGTTGTAAAGGGCCCCAGACTGCTGTGGCCCTTCAGCGCTCTCTGACTCGGAGCCCCACACCTGGCTGCTGAGCGACATCAGCCAGACATGTAAGGCCCCTCCCCGCCCATCCCCTTCTCTGGGAGTTCCCCTGCCCGCTTCCCCTTTTGGATAGTGGCCTCTATCGGGAAGGGCTCCCACTGTTAGGGACTTCCCCTTCCAGGCAACCTTGCCCAAATACTGCCCGATAAACTGTGGAAAACTGCCATCTCATGTCTTTCCTTGATCAGCCCCAAAATCTCTGCACTCATCACACAAGTGCACATGGAACATTCTCCAGGACAGACCACATGTTAAGCCATACAACAAACTTCAACACATTTAAAAAGACCAAAATCATGCAAAGGGCGTTCTCCAACCACAATGGAATGAACTTAGAAATAAATAACAGAAGGAAATTTGGGAAAGTCACAAATATGTGAAAATTAAACAACACAGTCCTAAATGTGTTTAAAATTTAGGTGAGTGAAACCAAAAACTCAATATACCAAAAAGTATGGGATGCGGCTACAGTAACTTCCAAGGGAAAGAGCTGTAAATGCCTATAAGAAAGAAAGAAAGAGAGAGAGAGAGAGAGAAAGAGAAAAAGAAAGAAAGAAAGAAAGAAAGAAAGAAAGAAAGAAAGAAAGAAAGAAAGAAAGAAAGAAAGAAAGAAAGAATCTCAAATCAGCAACCTGACCTTCCACCTTAACAAATAAAGAAGAGCAAAATAAGCCCAAAGCAAGCAGAAGAAAGGAAATTATATAGGTAACAGCAGCAATA